GTCAATTTCAATATTTCAATGGAAACAAAAAAGGTGATTATAATCGCGTGGGACGATCCAGTGGTAGAACAATACGTGCATTTGTGAACTATCTTTAAACCCTCGTCAAACCTATTCAAAGGTGATTGCGAACATTGAATTCTTCGATCATAATAAATAAATAAATCAAAATTCAAAAAAAAAAAAAACAAAATTCAAAAAAAAGAAAAAAAAAAAAGAAAAAAGAACAGAAGTATTATCACATCATTGGATCGCGATTAACACTATCATCAATAAAATTCATTTCTATCTGACTCGTAACAAATCGTCGAATAATTTTTCTTCAAACGAACGGAACTATGAATAGTCCTTAATTAAAAAAAGAAGAAAAAAAATCTACGGAAAAAAAAAGGAAAACAAAACGAGAGAGAAAAAAGATATTAAATAAACACCATATATCAGCTGCATATGCCTGTGTGTGTGTGTGTGTGTGTATGTGTGTGCACGCGTGTGTTTCGCCAATTTGATCATATCGAAGATTCAAACACATTTAAATCGAATAGAAAGATACGATAACAATAATCAACGATGAGACAATAATTAACGATGTAACCACACACTCCGATCGATGCATTCATGGACTATATCCCCCCTCCTGCTCTTACCTCCCCCTCCCTGGCCACCTCCACACCCCTGTTAACCATCGACAATAATCCTCTCTTCGAAGATATCGACCTTTGAATTCCTCCGTTACACGCATACACATGATGCCTGTTATGCGTAAACGCCTCGAGTGATGCATCATCCCTCTCGTGATAGTAAACAACGTTCCTCCTATATCAAACCGATAATTGTTCTGGCCAACAGTACATGATTTACCAGACGAAACTAAAATACGTTTGAAGGAAAGAAAGATGGTGAATAGAATGGAAAACTATGGATGGATGAATGAATGGGATATATGAATGTATAAATGAATGAATGAATGGATTGATGAATGAAAGAATGGATATATCAATGACGTATCGGTATAATAGAAACGAAAAGAACGGAAATATTATCGCGTATTATTTACTAGAAAAGATCATCTTACTACTAACCCCTATCCTCTCACCTCCACCCTTATTTTTTCCCCACCACAATCTCAATCCCCCAACCTCTCAGCTGTTCTTAGAATCTTGGCAATGTAGTGCAAAACAATCTCTCTGTCTCTCTCTCTCTCTCTTTCTGGTCGCAAACCCGGAACAATTGAATCGCAGGTGCCGGGGGCCGGGTTCGGGTATAGGTATAGGTGCGGGTACGGATACGGGTGGGGGGAAGGAGGAGGAGGAGGAGGAGGGATAAGGGTGGGTGCAATGCGTTTCACGGGGAAATTAACGCCCGCGGCATATTGTGGACCCAACGACCGAGCACGTTGGTGAGAAGGGAGCATGAGAGGGATGGGTGGATGGGAGGATGGAGAAGGAAACCCGAACCGGTCCCTACTCTCTACGCGTTCTGCCATATTGGCAATCAGTGAAGCCAACTGTGTTACATAGCGCGAGAATATCTACCGTGCAGCAGCTTCATCATTGCGCGTTCATACACTCTCTCTCTCTCTCTATCTCTCTCTCTCTCTCTGTCGCTCTCGCTCGCTCTCTCTCTCTGGCTTTATCTCTATCTCTATCTCTATCTCTATTTCTATCAATGTATGTGTGTATGTACGTATGTATCCCTCTCTATCTATCACACATCTCAACAAAACCTCATAGCCCGAAGCTTTTGAATACCTCTTTTCTTTTTATTGTTCAATGAAAAAGAAAAGAAAAGAAAAGAAGAAAAAAAAAAGAAATACAAAAATTGTCGTTTTTTATATGATACATTTTTTATCCTCGATATTATTCCCTCGTATGCAGGTATTACTATCGAAAAAAAAAAATAAGAAGAAAAAAAAGGAAGAAAAGATAAATAGTGTAAATTTAATCTAAGATATTTTTATCTTACTTTTATTATTATTATTATTATTAATATATATATATATATATGTGTGTGTGTGTATGCTTTATACTATTTAAATTATATAATTTTATTAATATTTTCCATCTGAATCGATTTAATCCTGACTGAAAGGAAACAATTTTATAAAAGAAATATTGAACGTGCCATATTATCATTTCAATTTTATCATATATCTGTATTGCGTATATATTAAATTTCACGATTTTATGAACAATCTTCGATTAATTATATTAAAAAAAAAAAGAAGAAGAAAAAAAAAAAAAAAAAAAAAGAAAAGAAAAGCCGTGAAATATAAATTCAACGTATCGATGAATTACCGTCTTAATTTTATAACACATCCCTATGTAATATCACGTTGTATAATTTTCTACGATATTGATATTAATATATTATATATTAATATTAAATAAGTCTAAATGAAATTTCTTTT